AATAGTTTAATTGCCGATGTAGTTTGTGAGATGTTTGATCTTGAAAACTGCCATTCTAAAATGATAAAGCTACCTTAAATGTGACAGTTGTTTGGCCTCTGGATTCAAGGGGACCAGGCTGAAATCTAAGCTTTGGTCCCTTCCTACCTGGGTGACTTTGAGCAACCTTGGGCAAGATAGTTCACCTCCCCAGGTCCGTTTCCTCCCATCTAAACTGGAGATAGTAATATACCTACCCCTGACAGTTCTGAGAAAGTGAAATGAATCTAAGAGATATAGAGATGATCACTCCAAGTATGCTCTCGACAAACAGTAGCCATTAACTGTTAAGAATGTTCAGCTGAGTAATTCAGGTACCTGGGGTGATGGGTTAATATTCGTCATTATCATCATGTTGAATACATTGAGCAAAACCCTCTGGGCCTGCAGCTCAGTGGGGCAGGGGTGTTGGCTAACTAGCAATCTGACAAATAATTCTTCTTAACAGTAGGGCAGTATTTCAAAATGACCCACGTTAGCTATTAAAGACATTAACACTCAGGGACCCCTAGGAGCACAATAAAATCCATTTTCATAACAATGTTTAAAATGCATATATTGGTTTTTTTAAAAAAGCACTTTACTTTTAGATCTAGGCTAAAATAGACCCCACTGGAAAACTGGAGAAAAAGATATCTAGGGTATTTAATAGGCTTAAAGTCCTATGTATTAGTAATGAAGAATATTTAAATTATTTGCCCATTTCAACCAGCTCTGTTAAAAATAGGCATTGTCAGTTACTGCAGATAAATCCTTTATTGGCCGAAAGACACTTGCCCAGATCATTTTGCTCCATGTAATTGTTTTGCAGTGAGGCAGATTTGGCCTCAGTTGTAACTATATAAGTTCAATGACAAATGTATTTTTACTGGTGTACACAGCTTCTGCAGCAGATATTTAGAAGCTGGGCCAGCAGATGCCGGGTGACTATCTGGTTAGATTTTCCTTAGCCAATAGCTGCTTGAGCTGAAACCCAGCCCCAGCAGATGGGTTGGCAAAAAAAAAAAAAAAAAA